CGCAGTGTTTATTCAAGGGCGGCATTTATTAATATTTTTGCTCTAAAATTTGGCGTTTATTCGAGGGCAGCATTTAATCAGGTAAATATGGTTACCCTGTGTTTCAGCAGATGTTTGTGGGGAAGGAAGATTGCATGACAAACCCAAAGAGTGTCTCCATAGGGGGCTACAGGAAAGGGTTCAAATGTGTTGTTGTTTACAGTGGTCAATGCGCTTAGCTACACCTAGCTAGTTCACAGGCATGCCACTTAAAATGAAAGAAACAAATATATCAACTAAAGGTAATAGGCTTAAAAATCCCAACCGGCAGGAGGCAGACCAGTGGGCTATTTACAAGCATGACCCAGGAGTCGAACTAGGGTCTACCGAGAAACAACTCCAGCTAAGTGGTCTGAACAGGACTTGAACCCGCAACCTCCAGATTTCAAGTCCAGTGCCCTTACCACTCGGCCACACTGCCTCCATAGGGTATGGTTCCTGATTCTTAAATAGGGTATTATTTTTGCCCCTGTTGTGATCTTTAGATAGGGTAGCTAAATTGTTAAGCTAAAATTCCAGTGCATAAATGCCCAGCTTAATGAAAAACAAATTCAATGCTTGATGCTTAGGATCTATGTTACAGAATTGAAATAAACTAAGTTGACCTGCCCATACCATTCTTAACTTTTTTCCCCTTGAATAGGGTATCAATTTTTGTTTACTTCATCCCATAAGGTCAGGATTTAAGACCCCTTCATGGTACACACCTATCTTAAGGGTACTGTATACCTTTAGAGCACCTTTCGAGGTGTCTTGTGTCCAAGGGATGTAGCACTTCAGTTTTAAACTCTAGATGCCTAAACCCCTATATCAAATTAAAGCTTATAGAGCTGGCTATCACTCTATACCAAGAATTGTGAAATAAAATGAATTGTTGAATTTGCTCCCCTCAAACTAGCAATCTCAAGAAACTTGCAGAGCTTTGTGGTGCTTTTTCATGTAAATACAACAGTAGTCTTGATTCAAAGTTTTTTTGCAGGGTCAAGAATGGGAAATCTTACAAGTGGCATGNTAGGGTATTATTTTTGCCCCTGTTGTGATCTTTAGATAGGGTAGCTAAATTGTTAAGCTAAAATTCCAGTACATAAATGCCCAGCTTAATGAAAAACAAATTAAATGCTTCATGCTTAGGTTCTATGTTACAGAAACAAAATAAACTAAGTTGACCTGCCCATACCATTCTTAACATTTTTTTCCCTTGAATGGGGTATCAATTTTTGTTTGCTTCATCCCATAAGGTCAGGATTTAAGACCCCTTCATGGCACACACCTGTCTTAAGGTTACTGTATACCTTTAGAACACCTTTTGAGGTGTCTTGCGTCCAAGGGATGTAGCACTTCAGGTTTAAACTCTAGATACCTAAACCCCTGTATCAAATTAAAGCTTATAAAGCTGGCTATCACTCTATACCAAGAATTTTGAAACAAAATGAATTGTTGAATTTGTTCCCCTCAAATTAGCAATGTCAAGAAACTTGCAGAGCTTTGTGGTGCTTTTTCATGTAAATACAACAGTAGTCTTGATTCAAAGCTTTTTTGCAGGGTCAAGAATGGGAAATCTTACAAGTGGCATGACCAACTTGCACGTGCACCAAGAACCTGCATCTTTTGTTCCCAAAGGTATTTTATAAGCTGTTTTTTAATTCTTTTCTTTTGACCATGCATTTGAGGTGTCTTTTCCTGTGGAGATGGAATGAGTTTATAGGTTGCCATAATTCAGCAAGTTCCCAGATTGTGGTTCGTGAGCTGTAATTGGCACTTGTGTTTAGACAATTATATTATGAACTGAGTAAATAATAAAACTGAATTCTAGTTGTTTA